AAAGCCACCACCAGCTTCAGGTGTCTCTCTAGTCTCACAATTCATACTTCTCTTTCCTAACAGTCCGCCGTCCACACACAGAGCCAGCTTTTCGTATTCTCTGAAATGCACAAGACACATTTTCTCCCTCCTCAAGGTCACCAGGCTTGAGAATCTCTATTAAGTCTCCAGGCTTGCTTTGGTAGCTATAGCCTGGGTTGTTGATGGGAGATTCCCACAGTGAGCTCTGTGGGTGTGTCTCATTCTCTTTGTGATTTAGCTAAGAAGATAGAAATATTAATTTAAAATGTTACCTATCTGGGGACTGGAGAGTTGACTCAATGGTTAAGAACACTAGCTGGCCTTCCAGAGGTCCTAAGTTCAATTCCCAGCAACCACATGGTGGCTCACAACCATCAGTGATGAGATCTGGTGCCCTCTTCTGACCTGCAGGGATGCATGCAGACAGAGCACTGTATAACAAATAAATAAATAAATAATTCTTGAGTTAAAGAAAAAAGTTACCCACCTGAAAATGAAGAAGGAAAAATACCCCACATACTTATAAGCTGATTCTCACTTACAGTTCCAGGGACAGCCCATCATAGCCAGGAAATGGACAAACCAGGATCTTTTTTTTTTTTTTTTTTTTTTTTTGGTTTTTCCAGACAGGGTTTCTCTGTGGCTTTGGAGGCTGTCCTGGAACTCCCTTGGTAGTCCAGGCTGGTCTCGAACTTACAGAGATCCGCCTGCCTCTGCCTCCCGAGTGCTGGGATTAAAGGCGTGTGCCACCAACACCCGGCTCCAAACCAGGATCTTAAAGCAGCACTTCACATCTCGTTCATGGTCAAGAAATAGCACTGAGTGTGTCTTAATGTTCAACTCACTTTCCCCATATTATGTCGTCTAGAATCCCCTATAATATCCTAGAGTAATCCCACCTGCAATCAAGTTGGGTCTCCCTATACTAATACAGGCATGCCCAGGGGCTCATCTCCCCAGTGATTCTAGGGTCTGTCAAGTGGACAATTAACACACACACACACACACACACACAGGAAATCCTTCTGTGTATATGTAAATAAAGCACTGTTGGCCAATAGGGAAGCAAGATAGGTGGGACTAGGAGTCGAGGAGGATTCTGGGAAAAAGAGGCATAGTCAGTCACGATGTAGGACCAAGAGAAGTAACATGCCCAGACACTTCCTCCGGTAAGAGAAGGCCACATGGAAATACTTAGATTAGCAATTATGGGTTACAAATACTTAAGTTATAGCTAGACAGTAAGAAACCAAGCAAAATGCCCAACAGCTCATAATTAATATAGCCTCCTGTGTGTTATTTGGGGGCTGAGACAGCAACGGGACCCAAGCGGCTAACTGAGGCAAGGCCCAAGTGACTGGCAGGAAGACAGCACGTTACACACACGCGCACACACACACACGCACACACACACACATGCACACGCACACACACACGCACACACACACACCTCTTTTTGAGAATTCACAACTCTTATGTTTGGTGGTCTTCCTTCTTAACCTTTTCAAACACTGAGAAGTTTAGGGTAAATATTAACCATAATTTATTACCTTTGAAATCAGCCCCACGCCCAGGAATCTTCAGAGCAGAACCAAGTGAAAATGAGAGACGTGCCAGGGTCAGGACAGGCAGCCAGACCAGCAACACATCCTTCCTCATTTCATTTTCTCTATCTCAATCTCTAGGTGACAGTTTTTGTGTTTTATCTTCTTTTCCTCTCTCTCTCTCTCTCTCTCTCTCTCTCTCTCTCTCTGTGTGTGTGTGTATGCGTGTTTGCATGAGGGAGCATATGCATGCACAGACCTGTAGAAGTCCAAGATGAATAAGAGAAATCTACTTTCCAACTTACTCTGAGACAGAGTCTCCCAGTCAAGCCCAGAACTTACCCATTTGGCTAGTTTACCTAGCCGGTTATCTCTGGGGGTACTTGTCCTATTGTCCTATTTTCCTAGGGCAGCACTGCTTAAGTTGAATTTTTTATTGAAGGCTTAGACCGTGCCCAGTGTTAAATTAAGAATGGCACCCAGGGTGAACAGTTAGGCATTTACTGAATGTCTGTCATAACTAGTTTTAGTCCAAATGTGTGTCCATATTTTACCATCTGTAGACATGAGAGGTGTAAACACAATCCACTGCATTATACTGATGGCTCTAATGTGGTAACATTTGAGATGTTTGTAAACATCACAGGAACAGACACAAGAGCCAGGATTTATGCTCAGAGGCGGCGTATGATTCATGCACATTGACTCCAGATTGGTTGCTCTACAGCAGACACGCAGAGGGAAGACGTGTCTAAGATGTTGCATAAAACAAGCAATGTCCTATGTTTTGTGTGGTACAGTCTCTGGGATGCTGTGTGGAGAAGAATGACTTCCCATCTCAATAAGAGTTTTTCGGAAAGACAAAAGGTCCACATTTGACATATGTGAGGGGGACTTGACAGAATGATGTCAGTGGTGTGTCTCACCCAAACACACGCTCAAATTCCAGAGAACCACCTTCACTCAAAGAGTAAGTGACGAATGTCATCGATGACACATGCTACACCTAAAGGGATTGCAGGTGTCGAGGGTTGCAGTTTCCCAGGCTATCCCAGACATCAAGCACATCCTCAGTGCCAACACGCTGACACGAAATTGGGTACCATTGCTTTCTCTGAGTCCCTCTGCCCTGGCTGCACTGTACGGAAGTCAAGCTAGCTAGCCCTTGGACTGTTGCCAGTATTGGTGCCTCATGGAACCAATCAGCTTTCTGGAGTCTTTGGACTCTGCCACTTTTCTCTGAGGTTTACATTCTCTTGTGACTCTATACCAGCAAGCTTGCCACTGCCCCCAAAACTGGGAGGAGAAAAATGTACTGTACTTGACTGTTAAGTTTATTTTATTTTCCTTGAGGTTGATGGTTCTTTTAGTTAAAAGAATCCTTCCCAAGGTCAATTAGTCTGTTTTCTCCAAAGGATGTATTTTTGCCAATTAATTTTCCTACCTAGTCAGACTCCATGGTAGCTTGACCTCACCGGTAAGAACCTGACTTCTTTCTTTCTTTTGTTTTTTTCTTTTTTGTTTTTCAAGACAGGGTTTCACTGTGTATCCCTGGCTGTCCTGGAACTCACACTGTAGACCAGGCTGGCCTTGAACTCACAGAGATCCACCTGCCTCCGCCTCCAGGGTGTGGGACTAAAAGTGTGCGCCACCGCCATCCTGCAGAACCTGAATTCTTTAGATTCTTCTCTATGCTGCATTCTCTCCATCCTTTCCTCCAGCAACCTGAGTGTCAAGAGCATATGCAGGAGACCCTGTCTCCCAGTTGCTCTAGCCGACTTTCTAGGCTGGGAGGAGCTACTCATGGATACCTCCCCACCTCTCTACCACAGCCATCCATAGTCAGCAGTTTCTGATGACTGCGCCTAACAGAAGGCCTGGTGTATACAGCGGCACTCAGTAAAAACGGAGAGTTCAGGGTTCAGACTCTTGCCAAACCACACAGCTGGTGCTCTGTTTTTTTATCAACCTAGCAGGCCACTCTGACCTCTGCTTTCCTTTACAATGGGGATAATACCATTTAACACAAAGGGAATGGTCTCACTAAAAGGTAACTTTTCATCACCTCTGGTAGTGAATGAATGAATGAGTGAATGAATGAGCTAATGAAAGAGATATTAGGGGACCGTCACTTGCTTCTGATGGGTTCCCATGAAGCCTGATGTCTTCTGGACAGAAATAGCAGGGTTTTAAGTCAGGAACTTGAGTTTCCACAGTGGAAGGACCACTGAGTCCTCCATCTAACCCACCCTCTCTCTCACCAGGTGGGAGCTTTAATAACGAGCTACGCCCTAGAACCATCCCACTGACTTCTATTGGTCACCCCACCGCCTCTCGTTTTCCCTGGTCTCTCCCGCAAGGCAGCTTTCCCTCACCTAGCAATTCTTCTAATAGAACACACAGGCCTTTCCTGGTCCCCAGAATTTCATTCTGTGTCACAGGGACTCAGAGCCTTCTTCTCCGGCCTCAGCCTCATTCCTATTGCCATGACAGACTACACGGATGGAAGAAGAGTATAGGAGAAAGCTTAGTTTAGTGTGCAGTTCAAGGTATGGTCCATTATGGTGGGGAGGTCCAGTTACAGGAACTTGAAGCAACTGTCTCTTCACACCCCTAGTAAGGAGACAGACGGGCTAAATACAAACATGTTTATGGGATCCAGGAGTTCCGGCTGACGAGTGGTCCCACCCACAGTTAAAGTTAGTTCTCCCATATCAGTGAACGTAAGCAAGGTATTTCCACCATAGGCATGGCCGTCTCTCGGATGGTTCTGGATCCTGTCAAGGTGACAATGGAAAATGACCATCACATTCACGCAGTGGTCTCCTGCTCTGCACCCTCTCAATTGCTTCCTTGTGTCTCCCAAGACACTGGAGATTGACTGACATAGAACCCAAGACAGTTGCTCAAACTTTAGGGACCGGAGGAATGATGGTATTGATGACAAAAATACGGCTTGAAGGGAAGGATGTTTAAAAAGGTACTAAATCTGTGTTGGCTTCTGATAAATTCTATCTTCTTAGCTACTGATAGGGAGAAAACAAATGAAAAAAAAAAACCAAACTGAACTAAGCAAAAAATCAAAATGACTCTCCACTTTCAAAGGTAGCACAACAATATGTCAGATATTAGAGCATGTCCAGTGTCCAGGTTATAAAGGTACACTTATGTAAAAGGATTTAAGTTATATAATAATGAAGTCAGATTAGACAGTAATATCCATGTGCGGGTTCTGATTCATTTTGCGATTTTTTTAAACTGGTGTAGACTTAGCAATTCTCTCACTCTCCACCATCATTTAAAAGTGTGAGTTCTGTTTCTGTTTTTGAAATAACCCCACATGGTTGGCAGTAAAATCTGCTGTGATCTGTTTCTCCTGTCAATACTTTCCTTTGCCTCTTTGCGATTCCCTTGACAAAGTGTGTTACATTACAGCCTCACGGTCAGGAATGAAGAAAGAGGAGACTCTGCGGGGAGACCCACACACACCACAAAAATGGACAGCATCCAGGTCCTAGAGGAGTGGTGAGTGTCAGGGCCGGGCTGGAGTCATTCCTGTGTTTAATGCCACTTATGTCCACCCTGTGCCAAAGCATCATGTCTTGTGGTCTATGCAATGAACGGCAGCTCAGCCTGGAAGATCTTACATATGATTGCAATTAGTTTTGACCAGGTTTTCTATTAACTATGCTACTAGGCCAAACATTGTCTAAGTTTACTGTAGAAAATGCCTTACTTTTACTAGTCTTGGCTGGAACTATTTTAAAATTTGTATTCATTTTATAAGAATCTGAATACCACACACATGCACACAAACACACATGCACATGCAGATATACACACATCCTCACATGTGTACAACCACACACATACATACCATACATACATACACACATATGCACATGTACACACACACACACACACACACACACACACACACACTGGATTACCAATATCAACCAGTAAAAATACCCCCAATAGCCAGTTCCTGGTTTTATAGCCACCAGAACGGATTTTAACCAAGTTTTTCCAAAACAAGAAATTGAAATGCAATGTTAGAAGAGAAAACCTAGTTATAAGTCAATGGTTCACATAATTATAAGGCCCCCTTTTAGTGTGAGTTTCACTGTGATGTTAGACAACTGTACTTTTAATTTTTATTGAGAGAAAGAGAGAGAGACAGAGAGAGAGAGACAGAGACAGAGACAGTGTGTGTGTGTGTGTGTGCGTGCGTGTGTTACGGATGTGTATATACACATGTATGCGAGTGTGCTCTCCCATGTGTGGATGTGTAAATGTTAGAGATGAGCATCCCTGGTCTCCTGTATCACTCTCCACCACCACCCCCTTTTTTAAAGCAAGGTCTGTCACTGAAGCTGGAACTCAATTTTTTGCTAAACTTATTTGCTTGTGAGTCTTTGGAATCTGGCTGTCTGCACCCTTCACCTGGCCCAAGCACTGGGGGTGTGGAGCACATCACCTTTCCTGGCTGGAGCATGTTAAGGGAAGCTTTTTCTTTGTGGGAAAACCTTCCCGCCAGCCTGGTTCTAGAGCCGCATCAGTCCCAAATAAACACACAGGAGGCTATATTAATTATGAAGCTGTTGGCCTTGCTTGTTTCTTACTGGCTAGCTCTGCTTTAAGTAATTACCCCATAATTGTTAATCTAAGTATGTCTCTTACCGGAGAATAATTCCGGGCTCCTACCCCATGGAGTTACATCTTGAATGTCCTCATGTTTCTCCTACCCAGAGTCCTTCTGGACTCCTAGTCCCTCCTATCTAGATTCCCTATTGGCCAGACAATGCTTTATTGACAAATGCACAGGACTTTCCCAACAGGAGCAAGTTGCCTTACCTGGCTTTTACGTGGGAACTGGGGATTCAAACTCAGGTTCTCATGCATAGAAAACCCTTTGCCCACTGAGTCAATCTCCAGGGCCCCAGATGTAATATCGTAAATGAATGGAGGCCTTCAGACATTATGGGACAGCTGCAAGTCTATTTAAGATACCTGGGTAAAAATTAAGAAAGTCAAAAGCCAAGATTCTGGATCATCTTAAAAATAAAAAAATCTGCAAGCTTTGTGCTTCTCCTTCTTTTGTGTGAGGGCAAATGGATAGTGGCTGGTTGTTTTGACAATTAAGTAGTGATCTTTATTATATCTGGTTGTCCAGAAAATCCTTCATGCCATTTTAAAAGTCCTCTGCATTCCAAGGTATACTTTGAGCATTTGGGCATATTTTTTGACAAGTGCACAAAACATATTCTTATTGTAGATTGTGTATATAATAAGGAATGCACACTGTAGATGAAAAACCATGGTTAGACAATACAAATGAGGTAGAAAGAAAAGTTATTTGCAGAAAGTTCCCGTCCATTTACAACAAATTTCTAAGAAGCATCGTCACTGGCAGGATTCTTTAGGACTGTCTGACAGCTATGAGCATGTGGTATATAGCTCCTTACTGTTCTAACTTACAGCTCTGATCCATGTATCTTGCGTCCATGGGGTCCGTTGTCAGGACTCAGGACTGGTAACAGTCCCTCAGATTGCTTGCCAGATCAAGCCAGGCGGAATAGCGGAACATGACCACTAGAGGGCAGCACGTGACAAAGAATTACAAACCACCAGCTCCTTCCCCGGCTGGTAGTCACAAGGTGTGGAAGTTGCCTAATGGCATCATTCTGTCTCTGCAGCCAAAACCCCACTGCAGACGAAGTCTTGTCCTGGTCTCAAAATTTTGACAAGATGATGAAGGCTCCTGCGGGAAGGAACCTTTTCCGGGAATTCCTCCGAACAGAATACAGCGAGGAGAACCTACTCTTCTGGCTAGCCTGCGAAGACTTAAAGAAAGAGCAGAACAAAAAAATCGTCGAAGAAAAGGCCAGGATGATATATGAAGACTACATTTCTATACTTTCGCCGAAAGAGGTAAGAATCTAGAGAACACTGAGGTGGGCTTTCTGAGGCCAGGCTGACTCTAAGGGGCCCACTCTCGGGACTATTAAAGCCTAGATTTCTATGGGTAGGGCAATAAGCTTTCCCTTCAGCACCGCGCTAAGACACATTGAAGGCCAGGTCTCCCCATTCTGCTTTGATCTTTATCTTTAGCCAAATGCTATGTGACAGGTGCTTGCTTTCCAGAACTAATGTCCTGCAGAAGCAAGCTGCTATGTTTTAAAGCAGGTGGCGCTTTTTAAACCATGATGCTACGACCATGTGCCTGAGAGCCGCCTGGGGTCATTTGTCTGAAAAGCTGATCATTGAAGCATGCGAGCGTGCGAGCGTGCGTGCGTGCGTGCGTGCGTGTACACGAGCCTGTCAGTGCACATGCACTAGGAATCATCCTCAATTGCCCTGCCACTTTATAATCAAGATGGATTCTCTCAAGCAAACCTAGAGCTCCCCCCCCCACACACACCCTGAGCTTTCCTGCTCTAGGGATTTCTTGTCCCCTGCTTCTGAGGCTCACAAGGGGCTACCTCATACACAGGGCATTTCTGTGGGTTGCTGGGAGGGGGAGCCAAACTCTGGGTCTCACTGTTGTAAGACAAGTGCTTTAACTACAGAGCTATCCCCACACCACACCACCAAGTGCTGCCTACACTGGACCATGGCAAACAGCTTTCACCCAGCTCTTCACATAAATACTAGTTTGAAAACATTTCTCTCTGGATGTTGGCTCAAAACAAACAAACAAACAAACAGAACCCCATGGCGTCCTTGTTGATTCTTAGGCTGAGATATTTTTTTTTCTGTCAGTGCTGAAGGTCTTGGTCTCTCCTTTCTTTAACCACTAACTCTTGGACAGAGATGGAGAATAGAAATTACCTTCCTTCCTGTACAGTGTACCAGAAGTGCAAGACTGTTTTTCCCAGTATCTGAATGAACCTATAAGGAACACTTTCAGCAGCCGTATTAAATTTTAAAGTTAATTTGCTCCTGAGGAACTTTCCCATCAAAGGGTTACAATAATGTGATGACCGTTGGGGCCTTGGTATCGGAGCTCTAGATATGTTTGCCAACCCCCAGAAAACACAGTGGCTTCTAGAATGCTTTCCCTTCCCCTGGCTACCCTGCCTTGCCTTTCTGCCCACATACACATTTAAATGTCCAAACCTGGTGTTTTCACCTCCCAGAGTTTAGCCTCTTGAACTTAACTGAAGTCTCCTAGAGCTGGACTGTAGGTGTCAGTACCTAGCCCGGTTCTCAGTGGGATGATGCCACCCTCTCTACCCTCACTCCTTTTAGACACATAAAATGTCCCTAAGTGTGACCTAAACTGTTTCACTTCTTTTTTCTTTTTTTTTTTTTTTCTTTTTTTTGGTTTTTCGAGACAGGGTTTCTCTGTATTGTTTTGGAGGCTGTCCTGGAACTCACTTTGTAGACCAGGCTGGCCTCGAACTCACAGAGATCCGCCTGCCTCTGCCTCCCGAGTGCTGGGGTTAAAGGCGTGTGCCACCAACGCCCGGCCTGTTTCACTTCTAATGAAGTCTTTATTATTGAAATGTCACTAGTATTCCAGAATACTCCAGCAATATTTTTGCTACAGATTGACAAACCTGTTCTAACTTGCTTCTCTGTTGCTGTGATAAAACACGGACCAAAAACAACTTGTGGGAGGAAAGAGTAAATATTTCACGTCCCAAAAGGCCAATGGAAAGATGTTGTTGGTGCTGGGTACCTAATATTGTGCTGTATGGTGTTTAGTATGATATTTCATTGCTTTTAATGTTCAAAAAACAATAAGTTAGGCTTTATTTGTCTTAAGATAACTAATGTGACACCAATAAGTAATTGTTACACTAGATTTCGCTATGCTGTTAAGAAGTAAATGAACCTTTCTTCTTGGCCACAGATCTTCAATTTTCTTCTCCACTGAAACAAAAAGTTCTCTCAAGTTTAAAAGTAAGAGCAAATCTAAGTGTGTATGTGTGTGTGCGTGTGTGTGTGTGTGGCAGGATATCACCTGACAATGATGTTCTAGAATGAGATGAACCAGTTTAAACTCCAATGCCAATCACAGACAAAAATATCTTTAGAGAAGATAACAATCTTGGGGAAAAGCTCTACAATTTTGTTACTTTGCTGTTGGTGGTGACTTCATATGGCATGAAAAAGGAAAAAAGTAAAGAGTTCATTTACAAAGCGTGCTTTTAAAAAGAGAATTCCCAACAAAGAAGAATGTGGAGTCCAGCTAAGATATGGATAAGTTAATCAATGAAACCTCTCTGAAATGTCGTTTGCAAAACACACAGACATATCCGTGTCTGTTCCCTTTCAGGTCAGCCTGGACTCTCGAGTTAGGGAGGTGATCAACAGGAACCTGCTGGACCCTAGCCCCCACATGTATGAAGATGCCCAGCTGCAGATCTACACCCTAATGCACAGGGATTCTTTCCCAAGATTCTTGAACTCGCAGATCTATAAAGCTTTTGTTGAAAGTACTGCCACCTCTTCTTCTGAATCTTAATTTTCATTTGAAAGGCCAAAACCCAAATCATTTCAGAGGGCTGGGACAGAGAAGTTGCTAAATGGCATCAGAAATTGAGTTCCTGGAGAACCACAGGTTGGCACCCTTGGGCTGCTGTCGAGAGACAGCCATGGGTCTTTGTCTCCATTTTTATCGAGGTTATCCTTGATTCTGTTTGGAGAAAAGCCTATATAAGACAATGAGTTGCCAAATTATGTTTGTCTGACTCAACCCTTGTTCTACTTGCAAGCAAACTGTGTTCCTAGTCCTCTGAACAGACTCCTAGTGCATCTCCAGAGGCAGCATGCGCAAAGAGAACTGCTTTGTCTGCCACTTAGTTGTACTGTTTAATCAGTAGCGTACCTTATATCTGTATTTAAGGACTTTCGTGCAATATGGTCTCTTAGAAACAACTGCCAACAAACTGGCCGTGGTTTGCATTTCTAAGCATAATCTGACACACACAAAAAAGGCTGTTTTAAACATGTAACTGTGATATTTAACCATGCTACATACTATGTTTAGTACGCGGACTTTGAAGCCAATTTTCCTGTCCATGAAAAGAAAGAGCTGCTGTTTATCTCTGCCTGTTGAGAGGTCTTAGTCTGAGACTCCTCTGGTTGTTCACTGCCCAAACTCTAGCATTTTCATTACAGAAGATTTGATATGTAAAACAACAACAAACCTAGCAATGATACGAAAAAATCTAAAAAGCACAAAACAATCCGAAGATATTCTATCTCGTTGAAAAACCCAAGAGCGATACTGTTTTTAGGTATAAAAGAGGAAATGAGTCTATGTATATATCAAATGTCCAACGATGTCATTAATTTATTAAAGAATGGCTCTCCGGTTCTAAAATAATTGTGTAAACTTATGTGTGTCAGCAAAAGAACAATAATATGCTTGATAATCCAATTCGGGAATATAAAGGAAAAGATTTCATAATGGATGCCTACATGTAGCACTGCAAAAGACACCTTGAGGAATTGCACCTGGCATGTGGCGTATTTGCCTTGAACGTATAACCCAGTGAAAAGCTTAAGTTTTCCCTAAGCAACATTACAAGGAGTTATGAAGATGAAAACCTTTGATGTCAGACCTTAACTGTTTTCATGTAGTGTCTCAAGAAAGATTTATTCTAATATTGTTCAAAACAATCAACCCTCATCCACAATTAGAAGGCAGTACAGTGCTCAAACCTTTTAGCTGCCAATATTATTTTTTGTAATTACATTAACTCTCACATGAAATACTCACCTGACCGTGGCATGTATTTCTGACCTTCAGAACAGTGTCGTATTGTGCACAAAGCCAAAATTACAATCGTCATATTTATATCAAGGTCTTATCTTTCAATATCAATATCCCCAAGACTATTTTTTTAATCTTAAACTCAATGAATATAATGTTAAGTAATCTAAAAAATGGAAGAATTACAAAGATTTATATCCACTGAGAATACTGGCCTTATATTAAGGATGATAATAAAATTATAGGTTTTATTTGTCATTTTTAACTACCTCTCATTTTTTAATTTATTAAACATATTTTTTAAAAAGAAAAGTTTGGAGTTTTCTTTTTAAATTTATTTTACTTGAAAGGTTGGCATCATGTTTCTTTTTCCATACATTTAAAACATTTCAAGAATTGTTTTTTAAGTGAGTATGATTTTCTAACTTATATAGAATTCAGGAGCTATGATTAAAAGGGCTATTACCTATTCCCTATGCAAATATTTTAACTGTTGCAGTGTTTGACAAAATGGGATTTTAAAAAAATTGCAGAGTAGAAAACAAAATGTTCTGTTTACACTGGTGTCGCTGACTATGCTACCATGTTCAGCACTTTTAAATACATTATTTATGAAAACATAGTTAAAATGCAGATAGAAAATACTTATAATAGTCATCTTTTAGCAAATGCTTGTTTTTTTCTGAAAATGTTAGTGTATTTAAGGTGTGCTTTCTTCATGTCACCTAGATATCTACTATTTGAATAGTTTCAGTAATATGTTGAGAAAAAGATAGTTGTAAAGATGTTTACAAAAAAAATCCTATTTTTTCCTAAAGAGTCAAGAAAACTTAAAGAGTGTTGTTGCTTCCATTTTGAAGTCTCATCATTCAAAATCTTTTAATTATTTTCTTGATTAGTGTTTATTATGCTACTATGATATGTACCCCCATATAGAGTATGGCATCATATGTGTTTCCATGTTTGAGGCACAATGAGTTGGTGCGCATACCAGGAGATGTGTAATATACTATGACACCCTGCATGAGAAATTGTTTTCAATGTAGACTTTATATTCCTGTTGTTACTGTGGATGCTGGTGACCTACTATCATGGGTTTTCTTTACAAGATGCTCTGGCTATTTGGTGGGTTGTCTGTTTGAAAATGCATCTAATATTTTACCAAATGTAAACATTAAGGGACTTCATATAGAGTACTCATCTCTAACCTGGGCATTTGCTGTGTTTGCATTTAAAGTTGCTGTGTCTTCTGGAACCTGATTAAGTAGTTTTGTTGAGAAGGTTCTAGAGCACATTTGCACAGTCTGTGTCATTAGCCATGCTGCGTGAGAAGTTCTGTGCTAAACTGCTATTTCGGGAGGTGGGGGGGGCGAGGGATCCTTATTTCATTTCAGAATGTTTCAGGTTTTGAAGAGTGTGTCTGTGGACTTACGCCTATGCCAGTTTTTAAAGTACGGTATGATTTCTTCTGTTTAACTCACAGCTATAATAAACAAACAAAAGCCCTCAACAGGTGTCTCTGCCACCATATCAAGAGCACAACATTTGCTTTATTCAAGCTTGACTTCATCCCTGGTGAGTAAATAGCTCCCTGGGGAAATGCTAGCACTTTAAAACAAAGCACCTTGTGTTTTAGACTGCCAAGATGACTGTGTCTCTTGCTAGAGTGTGCTAATACACACAGAAGAGCAAATGCACTTTCTCTAGTACCTGTCTATAGGTGAATCTCTTACGGGAAGAAAAGCAGGTTGGTGTAGATGATGTATATAGACGTGCCTGGAAGACAGGGGTCTTCGGAGGTGGATCTTCCACGTAGACACGCTAACACTGGATGGATGACTCCCCTCTCTCCGTCTTACTATGATGTTCTCCGAGGTTATCACAAATGTGACAAGGGACATAGGAATATAAGCAAAGCTGCATTCTGATACTGAAACTATGAAACACGAGAGTCACTTTTTTTTTTTTTTTTTTGGTTTTTTCGAGACAGGGTTTCTCTGTGGCTTTGGAGGCTGTCCAGGAACTCCCTTGGTAGTCCAGGCTGGTCTCGAACTCACAGAGATCTGCCTGCCTCTGCCTCCCGAGTGCTGGGATTAAAGGCGTGCGCCACCAATGCCCGGCGAGAGTCACATTTTTATCTTCAAACATTCATACAGTGTTTATATAACCAGTTCCAGCAGTGAGTCACTGTGCCTGGATCTTGTATTAGTGCCCTTCGATGCCTCCTAGTATGAAGTATGTGCTGTATTTATTTGATAGTTCAGGGTTAAAGGACTGTAGCATTAGATAAAGACTGTCTCTCCCTATCGTTCTGATTTAAAATAATACTTGAATCTCAATTTAAGTCTATTCTTTTTTCTCTATAATTCCTTAATCTTCTCCAAAAAAAAGTCACATTGTAATTGTAGAAACTACACTTGCAACAAATAAAAAATATCAGGTGCTTTGGTGAAGATTTTTAAATGGAAAGAATTTCAAATAAACCACCAATTTGTTTTTAAACAGCTAGAAGACATACCTACAACCCAACATAACATGGTTTTTGAATATTTCAAGCTTCATATATTAGCATATTATTTTGAAATAGGAAAGAATGTCAAAATATTGGCTTGCCTATGTATTTAGATTGCCAGTTAATGACCGATCTCCAAAGTACATTTTTCATCTACTTGAGTATTCTTTTCTGGTTTTAAATTTCTGGTCAATATACAATGCCATCCTTAGAAAGGAGTATACCATGTGTAATAATTTTGCCACAACTGCAAACATTTACCACTAAAACATCCCAAACCTTACTTCAGAATGTATCTGGGAGATTTACAGCATCAATGCAACTCAGTGCATGGAAAGGCACTGACTCCCAACAGCAAACTTTGATTTCTCTGTGTGTTCAAAACAAACGACTCTTATAGATATAGTTCTAACAGTTATAAGTGGCACGTTTTCCCATCAGTTTAAGTGAACATTCCAGACCATCATTCTCATGAAAGCGCTGAAGAAATGGAGTATTGCCTTAGTCGGACAAATGGGGCTGGCTGGGGACTCATTCGGTTCTTGTGGCAAAAGCTTCAAGTTGGGAAAATCAGTTATCGAAAGCACTGATAATGATAACCAAAGGTAATATCTCAATGTTGTGTGTATAATCTGAAATTCAACTTCCCCTTATGTCTTGTACTAAATGTTTCCTGTTACAAAATTTTCTGTGTATTTACTCCTTTTTACAGCATTTCTGCTTTTTAAATAGTTAGAGCTGCATGTTTTAAAGCGATAATTAAGCAAACCACCTAAGGTTTGGGCACATTTCCTTTTGAAATGCCTGAGCTGATCTCAAGTGGTATTTATGACCAGAGATAGTAGGAAAGTCATTATTCTTTCTGAATCTTTCTCTTCATCTGAAAATATTAACTATGGGGTGGGTGGCCATGGGAACAATGATGTTGCATGTGATAATTTATTGTAGTTCTTCAGGCCACAGTTTTTAGGAAAGGCTGTAGCCAATGCCATTTTAATGTGCTTTCCCCCAAATTTTCCCTTTAAGTTTTTAAAGTTATCTTATACAAAAAAGGGTTTCATTATGACATTTTCATACACATGTTTGTTAAATCTTGTTCTCATTTGTTACCACTGACTTTCCCTGTGCTCTCTACTTCATTTATTATTTGAAACATACTTGAAAAATCTAAATAGGAACATGCATGCGCATGCGCGCACACACACATACACACACACACACACAAGATGGAGACACAGGCAATAAAATTAACATTCCCAGCGATAGGAATAATATAAAATCAAATAAGTTACCAATATATCAAGTATGTGAGTGGGAGATAGGGAGAAATGTAATTCCATACAGCACCATTACAAAAACATGTTTTTAATATTAATGTGATTTGGTCAATTCCATCATGAATCTGTGATGATAGTAACTACGTTTATTACGTGACGCCAAGGGCACATGACAGCAGGCTGAGTGCTCTTGTTTTGAGCTCCTCTTGCTGCTGTTCACCTATCACCTGGTTAAAGCATCCTGTTAAACTGCAACCTCTCGGCTGTCAATCGATGCACATGCAGGGAGGGTGTGTGTCTTAGAGGTAAACAGACTCTGCACTTACTGGGCAAGAAAAACAAACAAACAGCAAACAAACAAATAAAAACAACTCTGGCAGACATCTTAGCACTAATGCTACGCTCCATTTAAGAATCTCCAACAAATACTATAAAGAAAATGCAGTGAATTAGGAAGTGAGATGGGTCAAATTCCAAACCAGTGTTAGCTTGAATCGTCACGTGAAAGCGATACTGACTTCCCTGTCCCTGACACACCCTGTATATTTACCTAGATCCTGCAAACATGCTGGGTTTAAACATTTTAGTCTCGTTCATTGTAGCAAGAGGTTACTTATTACTCGTGTTTAATGCTCTCCTATCTACTCTCCACTGAGCAATGCATACAACACTGAAGTGTTGGAAGACTGAAGTTGTCCCTCTAGCTTTAACCTGTGTGTCACGGCGTTTCTTGTGTATGGTTTTAAAGAATTTGCAAAATACTAAAATGTATTTTAATGAATTGATTCTGTGAAATTTGTCATTTTGGATGTGTACAATTTCTTACTTCCATGCTCATTCTATTTAGTAATCTATTTCCAATACATTTATTAGTGGACCACAAAGTTTCTGAGTACATGAATATAAGAGTAACCATGCTTGGCTATTTCATAATACCAAAATAACTGTGGGTACTCATAACTGAATAGATAATCCAGATTCTTTTTCTTGCAGTTTAAGTTTTTCTGGGTTTTTATTCCATTGAGTAGATTTAATCATTGACCTATGTACAATAATAGACTTCCTGAAAGTGCTACAATTTTTACCATGTAATAGATTTGAGCATGACAATAATGTAAGAAAACTCAGACATCTCCCGCTAAGTGTATCTGAGTTTTCAAAGTAAATCAAATAACAAGTGTCTTCATTTAGCTATATTGTGGAAATTTATGGATATCATTGTGAAATGCACATGCATTACACTGATTTTCTTAAGATGTTTTGAATTAATAAAGAATTCTCCCATGTATCCTTAGACAAGTTATTGTTTGTTCATTGGCGTTCCACTGTCGGAGTACGAGTCCTGGGTGGATTCTTCCCATCATTGTGTAACATTAGAGTACCTTTTGTAAGTAATAAAATATATTCTGAAATAACTGGTGTCTTCAAGAGTGCAGTGGAGGGATTTCTCACGGTAAATTCAAATCTCTATGGCAGAAAAAAATAACCTCAAAATTGAGTTTAGAGTTAGAAATAACTTTTCCTGACAGAAAAACCACATGATGATGCTTTTCTATACTCAGGGTGGAATAAAAACAAAACCGGTCCCAACCTGCACCTTACAACAAAACATTTACACAGTGTGCCACTTGAATACACAAGAATACGGGAAATTTGAAGCACTGAAAACGCTTGCTGTTATGTGAAAGGCCACTTTATTTCTTCATTTTGGTACCCTTGTATTTGATGCTAAGGATTGATTAGATACGATGCAAAATTCGTTGGTTTTTTTTTTTTGAAAATTTGTGATAGTTTTAATTAGTTTTCACCTTAACCCATTCTTTACCATTTTGTTCCACAACGAGGATAGTTTGATCAACAGTGAACCACTGCCGTAAAAACAAACAAACAAAAACCCACAGCTAGTAATCCAATAGAGTTCATAGACTGAGCTTCAAGCCCTGCTTTCCCAAGACTGGCATGGCTGCATTTATTCACTTCCTGTTATCCACTTCTCTGTGGTTAAGTCTTTTGAAGCTGCGAACGCATCAGTTAGCAGTTAAGAGGATGGGATTAATACTAGAGGCAGATTTTTGATATTTTTTCATTGCAGAGCTGGAGACTGAGCCTTGAGCAAGCTAAGAGAGAGTATTCCCGCTGTGAAGAACAACTCCAGAACAGAAGCCTTCTCTTTGGCTTGGGGGCGCGTCCAAGCTCAGCCCGGAGGCGGGGTCAAGACTTTCGCGTAGGCTTAGGGGCGGGGCCGAGGCCTCAAAGCCCCGCCTAGAGGCGGGGACAGGCGCTGAACTCCGAAGCCTGAGCCCCCCACCCCGAAGTAGAGGCGGGTCCGAGGCGTCTGGCTTCCGCCTGTGGGCGGAGCTGAAGAGGTCGAGCTCCTCCCCGGAGGCGGGGTCGAGGTCTTGAAACTCCTCCCCGGAGGGAGGCGTGGCCTAGGAGTTGGCGCTCCTTTCAAAGGCGTGGCCGAGGCGTTGGAGCTCCTCCCCGGAGGCGTGGCCGAGGCGTTGGCGTAACCCCTGCCTCCCCGGGAGCTCCTAGGTAGCGGAGCGGTCCCGTGGAGGTCGAGTCGAGGCGGCGGTTCTCCGCCCATAGAAACTGGACTGGGGCGGTGGAGCTCCCCCCTGGAGGCGGGACTGAGGCGGTGGAGCTCCGTCCGGAGGAAGGGCCGAGGCCTTGGAGGTCTCCTCCCACCTCTCGGAGATGGAGACCAGGCTGCGGCATCCGAGCTTCCACCGGGGAGGTGGTGCGGGAGAAGGAGGCACATTGAAGCCCCACCCTTGGAGGCCGGACCCAGACGTCGGAGCCTCCTCTTGGAGGCCGGGCTGAGGAAGCGGAGATTCCCCCACCCCCGGGAGGTGCGGCCGAGGCACCGGAGCTTCCCCTTTGGAGGCGGGGCAAACGCTTTTGATCGCCCCGCCCCTTTACCTTTTGGCTTTTGGAAACCGAGCGGCTCTCCCACGCTTTGCCGGAAGTTCTCGCAACGTTTCCGGCAGAGCTTTTAAAAACCTGCCTTGAGGCCGGGGATCCGAATTCCCGGTATAGCTTTGCTGTTGTTTCGGTCACGGTGGGCGATCGGCCAGGATGCGGAGTGGGTTCCTGAGAGGTGCCCGACGCCTGTGGGCTCTCCGCGGCCTCAGCCGCACTGCGCCGCCGTCCGAGGAGCTCTTTGCCCGGGAAGGGCCCCTAAGGGCCTTCCTGGATCGCCGGGCAGGCTCGGGGGCCGGGGGTCTGGACGCCGGGGGGAATCAGCTGGCGGCGGCCGCCCGGCTGCTCAGCGAGAAGGAGCGGGAGTTGCGGGACACCGAGTCCCTGCTGCATGGTAAGCCGCCAGCCGCAGAGGGTTTGGGAGTCATCTGCGGCCCCGATCTCGTCACTAGCGTTCTGATATCCTCCCGCAGGCTCTGCAGGGCTCCCTTGACCCGGTGCTCTGCCCGTCAGTCCTCAGAAGTTACTCAAGTTCTTGGTTGCCTACCCTTCTCTCCTGGCAGCTTAGATGCTCAGGAAAGACCAAGTAGTCCCTGCGACAGGCTCTGCAGCCCGGTGACTTTATGGTTTTGACCCGTTGCGGTCTGAGGTGTCATGCACTGTAGAGTTAGAGTCCCTAGACCTGGAACTCCGAGTTCTCAGCACGTTTCCCTGCACTCGAGTCTTAAGTAGGACACCGAAGTGTCTGCCTCACTGAAGCCTCCAGAGATGTCTGCCCAGTAGACCACACTTGGGAACTCTAGGCTTGATTCAGACACCCTGTGTCACTGGATAAAGTGGGAAGAGGGATTGAGGTTGATTCCTGACATCAACCCTGGGGCTCCACATTCGCGTGCGCGCACACATATACAAACACATGCATAGTAAGGACTTTAATAAAGAAGAGTGCTGAAAAGCATAAAGCAGCATTTAAGTGCATCTCTGAAGGCAAGAAAGAGGTAGTTAGGTGGCATAAGGGAAGTGGATAGAAGACTAATGTGATCGACTTGGATAAAGGTATCTGACAAGTAAGCATGGAATAGGTTATGGAAGATGGCAACGGAAAAGAAACAGGAAACCAGAAAGACGAAGGATTAGAATTGTTTCTGTCTTACATTTTAGGCAAAGAAGTGGCCTTATGTAGGGAAAGTCCACTGCGAAGCTACTGTGGAGAAAAAAAATGAGTGGGGAGGAAGCTGCTTACTATCCAAAGCATAGATAGTGGTAGGTAGGCAGAGCTGACCTTCAAGACACTGAGAAACAAGATTTGTGATTACAGCGTACAAATTCTAGGGTGGAATTACAGTGGGGGGCAGCTTCCATAATCACAATGAGTTCTGTTTTTAATTTAAGATACAGGTACAAAAGTTGGGTTTTCTTGGGGGAGGAGAGCTTTGCCTTTGAATGAATATTTGGGTAGTAAAAATAAACCGATAAGGATACTGGTACAGAATGCTATATTGGTCTAGGAGAACTATGGCACAGGAGAAAGCTGGTGAGCCTTAATAGTTAGAGAGGGTGGGTTAGATACTAAAAAGTGTTTCAGAGAGAAAACAGTTTGTAATCCCCTTCCCTAAGCTGCACATGTCCACAGAATAGAAAAACAGGAATGAGAAAGTAGATCTTTAAGTCAAAAGTGAGAACTCAAAGATCAGACAATCATAAAAACAGAAATGGGAGGAATATTACATGTAAACACTCCAGCACATGTTCTGTAGGGTACCTATTTTATCTGAAGGAAACATTCACCAAGACTAACTTCAGACTATAGCTTTCAATTTTGGCTTAGCTGCTAAACCCTCTTGTGCCTCTCCTGGGCATTCGAACTAGTTAAATGTATATCCATTGGTATTGTAAAGCTTAGCCTGGTACATTGAGTCTACGTATTGGGGCTGGAGAGAGCCCAACTGTGAAGAGCACTTGCTGCCCTTGCAGAAGACCCAGATTTTGTTCCCTGCACCTATGCAGCAGCCTACAGCTGTCTATAACCCTTGTCATAGGTGGTTTAGCACCCCCCTTCTGGCCTCTGTGGGTACAGCATGCACTTGCGAGACACACACACACACACACACACACACACACACACACGCACACGCACACGCGTAGGCAAGTACTCAGACATATCAGATCAAACCACTAGACATTTTTGAAATTTAGCTTTATGTGTATGAGTGTTTTGCCTTTGTGTATACATGTGTACCATATGCATACCCACAAAGGTAAGAAGAAGGTGTCAGATCCCCCGGCACTGGAATCAGAGATGGTTGTGAGCCAACATTTGGGTGCTGGGAACTTACTTAGATTCTCTGCAAGAATAGCAAGAGCTCTTCATTGCTGAGCCATTTCTCCATCCCTTAATTTTTTTCTCTTAAAGTCTATTATTATGGTTTTTGTGGATATAAATTCAACACTAATTAAGAAACACTTAATTGCTGCTCTTTATCCTAGATGAGAATGAAGATTTAAAGAAACTTGCAGAGAGTGAAATAGCTGTGTGTCAAAAAGAAATAACTCAGCTGAAGCATCAGGTACGGTATGTATGCAAAGAATAAAACATCTATGCCGTTATTCCTTATGCATTTCATTACAAGTTTATGAAAGAGTCCAGAAAAACAGCCTGTCACTATTTAGATAGAACGTTTGTTACTGTTTTTTCTTTACTTTGGTGTGAATGTTTGTCTGCTAATGTGTTTGTGCACCACAAACATGCCTGATGCTGTTAGAAGCCTGAGGAAGGTATCACATCCCTTGGAAATGGAGTTACAAAGGTTGTAAGTTGCCTGATAAAGTAGGTCCTGGAACTGAACCCAGGTTATCTGGAAAAATAGTCATTGTCCTTAACCACTGAGCTATCTCCATCCCTCCAACTCTATAGACTATTTGTTTTTTTTATTTTTATTTTTAGCTTTTGTTTGTACAAGTGATAACTACAGTGTGATGTTTCTCTAGTATGCACACTCCATGAAGGGATTACCAGTGTCAAAGGGAACTTTCAAACAGAAAAAGATATGCTTCCTGTCTTCCAAATTTTTCATGTTACAGGAGTTGTGTACTGTACAGCTCTCACTGATAAATTCATGTGCCAGCTCTTACTGGGAAGGCAAAAAGACAAGGCAAATCTGCTTTTGCTTTTTTCTTTTTCACTGTAGATAGACAGTAGAAAGGAAAGATTGTAGAATGATGGCAAATTGTCTTCCCAGGGGCAAGAACGTGGCTTTTATATTGGCATTGATGGAGTGCCAGACCTAAACATCCAAAGTCAAGTTTTCTTTCCCGTGTTAAAGAAGCTTAACTGACAAATGCAAGATGAAGGCCTCTGGTTTCCTTCCATATTAGTCTTGTATTTCAAGAGAGGAGAATTTCTTTTGCATTCTACATGTGGTATTTAATTTAGTTCCTGATCCCTGCATTTAATTCCAAACTACCTGACTAGTGAATCGATAGAAAGCATAGAAGATTCCCAAAGTAGGAGGTGGGAGTGTAGCTTCGTTATTGGAGGGTTTGTCCAGCACCATGAGGCCCTGAGTTCAGTCCCAGCACCATGTAAAATCTGGTGTGGTGGTGCACACCTGTCTTGCCAGCACTGAGGAGGCAGAGGCAGGAGCATCCAAACACAAAAGGAAGAATTCCAAGAAGAAATAAGAACAAACCCATCACAAGGAGATGTATTTTGTAGTATTTAAAATGCAACTGAAAATTAATACCTTAATGGAAGATATACATTATACATTTTTAGTTAGCAAGATGAGCAAACTGAATTGAAGAGTAATATTAAATGATGTGTTTAAAGAAATGTAGGTTACATATCTAAATTCTCTAATTTTGTAGCTTTGGGCATTAGTTCGAATAGTTCTTAGTTACGGGAAGGTGCTGTCTTTGTATTTACAGATCATCTCACTTTTGGTTCCTTCAGAAGAAACAGATGAGAGTGACTTGATCCTGGAGGTGACTGCGGGTGTGGGTGGTCAGGAAGCCATGCTTTTCACTTCTGAGATGTTTGACATGTACCAGCAGTATGCTGCATTTAGAAGATGGCATTTCGAAACACTGGAATATTTCCCAAGTGAACTAGGTCAGTCTCTTAGTTAGTTTCTATTGCTGTGATAAACTCCATGACCAAAGGCAACTTGGGGAAGAAAGAGTTTGTTCATCCTTCAGTTTACAGTACCATGAAGGGAAATCCGGGCAGAAACTCCAGGCTGGACTGTGGAGGCAAGAACCGAAACACAGGCCGTGCAGGAAAAGCGCTTCTCGCAGTTGAAGTTGCTTCTTAGATGAGTCTAAACAGCCCAGTTGGAGGTGGATTCATTTGTTTCTGTAAAGCATCTATTTATCTACAGTGTGTCCTGGGAACGGGTTGGCAAGAAGTAGTTATATGCTCATTATTCGTCTAATGATTTTAAATAAAAAATATAATCTTGAAATTTCCTGTAAAATATGATAGCAAGCCATTCCATGATAATCACTTGCAGCTTTGAGAAGTGGTTTTAGGATACTCTGGGCTCACATCTGTAATCCTAGCACCCAAGAGGCTGAGGTAAGAGAATTAATTACACTGTTCAGGACTAGCCTGGGCTACAGGAGAACTTGTCTCAAAAAGAAAACAAAATGGTGGTCTTTTAGCTGTTACTGCTGTGAATTCACCAGCACTGTAATTTAATAGCTGAACACAAGCATTATTTGTTAAGACGCTGGAAAGCTGGCTCAGTGGTTAAGAGCACTGGCTGCTCTTGCAGGGGACTTCAGTTCAGTTCCCAGCCCCCACATGGTAGCTCACAACCTCCCATAAGTCCATCTCCAATGGGTCTGATGCTGCTTTCTGACTCCATATGCACCTGGTACATACCTGTCACACATTCATACATGTGCAGAGTTATAAAACACTCAGACATAAAATGAAGTCTTTTAAAAAGTTAAGGATTATGTATTGAAACCCTGGATATCACAGACATGCCAAAGTTTTGCAGTGTGCTTGTACTCCACACTTACAGTTATTTTCTGGCTCTTTAACTATATTTCATGAGAAAGCACGAGACGGTCAATTGTTTATGCGTGGCAGAGTGGTAAAAAGAATTCATTTCTCCCTGTTTCCAAGGCGGCCTGAGGCATGCGTCAGCCAGCATTGGAGGTCTGGAAGCTTATAAACTCATGAAATTTGAAGGAGGCGTGCACAGAGTCCAGAGAGTGCCGAAGACAGAGAGGCAAGGCCGCATCCACACCAGCACCATGACGGTGGCGATTCTGCCCCAGCCGACCGAGGTAAAGCATAGAAATGGAGCTTCAAAAATGGAATATGAATGAATTGAGGGTTTCTGCCTACTGTTTTTAAGAAAAAGTACTATTTAGAAGTACGCTAGAGTTGAAAGACTTTCATTCGTGCGTTCGGTATCTGTGAGAAGCCTGATGGGGAACATAAGAGCTGAGGACAGGCAACAGAGTCAATGTCAGGAGGCCTGACAACTTCCAGGACACGGGAGTGAGGGCTAGAGGCTGTCTGGCTCTTCTTTCCACTCAGTGGTTTTCTTACTGCAAGATGACTGACATGCCATCGAGCAGTATTTAGTTGTTTCCAAGCAGACATATTGAAACATGGTGCTTCTGAAGATATTTCTGGGGTGGGCACCATTCTGTTTGAGTCCAGTGTTCATGGAATGCAGACCCTGGGCTTCATGATCTTTGCCTTCAAATCATAATATTTTAAAAACCACATCCCCCACGCCGGGCAGTGGTGGCGCACACCTTTAACCCCAGTACTCGGGAGGCGGAGGCAGGCCAGATCTCTGTGAGTTGGAGGCCAGGCTGGACCGACAGCCTCCAAAACAATACAGAGAAACCCTGTCTCGTAAAACCAAAAAAAAAAAAAAAAAAAAAAAAAACACATCACCTCCCTCCCTAAAACAGTTACATGTACTCAAACTGCTATTATTTTTTGTTTCATCTGCTAAATTTTTTAATTCAGCAAAATTGTACATTTTCTGCCTTTTAAAAACGATTGTGACTACGTGTGTGGATGTGTATATAGGTGGCCGGAAGAGGGCACGGATCCGCCGGAGCTGACGCTAAGGGAGCCTGGGGGCCAGCTGATGTGTTGACCGCAGTCAGGTCCTCTGTAAGGACAGGACGTGCTCTTCACCATCTCTTCAGTCCAGTGTCTTGTTTTTAACTGTCCCCAGTTGTATCATTTGTGAGGCAAGAAGCTCAACTTCTGAGGATTAGGGACTGTTGCTTTTGTTCCTTACTCATTTAAAAAAGAAAAATAATATCCTAACTACTGCCTATTCTTAAACCGTTTTAAATTGTTTGAGATTCTACGTATGGCATGTATTTACACTGTGTAGGTCTCATCTGAAGACAGTTGGTACATGCAGTTGTTTTTTGAAGTTCCAACTTTTCTTCCTTTTTTATTTAAATTAGAAACAAGCTTGCTTGACATGTCAATCCCAGCTTCCTCACCCTCCCCTCCTCCTCCACCTCCCACCAGCCTTCCCAACCCCCCACCCCATCACCCCTCCACTCCCCAGGGAGGGTGAGGCCTTCCATGGGGAGGAATCTTCAAAGTCTGTCATTTCATCCCAGACTGGGCCTAGGCCCTCCCCCATGTATCCAGGCTGAGAGAGCATCTCTCCATGGGGGATGGGCTCCCAAAGTCCATTTGTATGCCAGGGATAAATACTTATCTGCTATCCAAGGCCCCATAGATTGCAGCCTCCTCACTGACACCCACGTTCAGGGGGCCTGGATCATTCCTATGCTGGTTTCCCAGCTATCAATCTCGGGTCCATGAGCTCCCCCTTGTTCAGGTCAGCTGTTTCCGTGGGTTTCACCAGCCTGGTCTTGACCCCTTTGCTCATCATTCCTCCCTCTCTACAACTGGGTTCCAGGAGTTCAGTTCAGTGTTTAGCTGTGGGTGTCTGCCTCTGCTTCATATGAACAAGACCCATTTTCTTTGTATGTATAGATTAAACTGGTGATTAATCCTAAAGATTTGAGAATTGACACTAAGAGAGCAAGTGGAGCTGGAGGCCAGCATGTAAACACCACAGACAGTGCCGTTCGGATCGTTCACCTTCCTACAGGTACGCACGGTGCTTGTCAACGCGAGACTGAAGCAAGGTCAACTTCTGGGGGACTGACTGATTTCCCACCGAAGCAGACCTTCAGCTGCCAGAAGAAAGGAAACCATTACGGGCTCTTAACTAATCACTTGATTCTCTGGGTCCTGTAGCTGATGCTGTGTAGGATAATGACAAAGCCAGCAAGAGGGCAAACACATGACTCACCCTGTAGTTACCATGAAGAGAACAGAGCCCTGCCACCTGCCAATTGGGTTTTGAAATATATACTTAATAGATTTCACTATTTCCAAAGAAACCTCAGTGAGATAATTACCTGAATAATTTTCAGTTCTAAATCACTAGCTTAGGGCTAAGATAGTAACAAGGATCCTAGAGGCAATAAAAACATTGGACTCCTTACACAGAAACACAATACATGAATGCAGTTTTAGATACAATTTTAGGAGCATCTTGCCATTGAGGCTGTAAAGTCCAAGGCGATTTGAATCTAGATAATTGGGCAAAAGGATTGTTTTATTTATTTTTTTATTTTTGGTTTTTCGAGACAGGGTTTCTCTGTGACTTTGGAGGCTGTCCTGGAACTAGCTCTGTAGTTTATTTCCTTTTTTATCTATTTCTATTTATAGCCCCCACTTGTTACCTCAATATTTAACCATTTTCTGTAGTTAAAAGAACAAAACCCTACCTGCCTACCAGTCTCAACTACTGGTTAACAGGAACTATAACAATTTGTTCTAGTTAAGGGTGCCTGAGGCAAATAAAGCAGACGTCCTTGTCACTCACAAGCCACCCAGTAGTCTAGTAATACTTGAAAGCACGGTTCTACTAGGCAGTATATAATCCTTTTAGCCGGGTGGTGGCGCACGCCTTTAATCTCAGCACTCGGGAGGCAGAAGCAGGTGGATCTCTGTGAGTTCAAGACCAGCCTGGTCTACAAGAGCTAGTTCCAGGACAGCCTCCAAAGCCACAGAGAAACCATGCCTTGAAAAAACAAAAAACAAACAAACAAAAAAGAACAAACAAAAAAAAAGAAAGGACAGAAATAGTCTTCCATAATAACCTTCTGTAATTCTTATAACACGATTCAGGTGTCGTTTCTGAATGCCAGCAAGAGAGATCTCAGCTGAAGAACAGGGAGCTGGCTATGAAAAAGTTACGTGCAAGGCTGTACAGCATGCATCTAGAGGAAGAAACTACTAAAAGATACAACGCTAGAAAGATCCAGGTAAAAATGAATTTAAGAAACACAAAGACAAAACATGGGTACTGTGGTTTTTATGTTATTATGTTTTTATTATAAGGGCAGTACCTATGTCCAGCTTTATCCTGTTTTCTGTAGGCAAAGACATTTTTCTCAGATTTGTCAGCGTGTACCAAGTCCCTGCTCAGCTTTTAATCCTTTGAACTAATGGAGGCAAGAATACTGGGAGCAGGGGGTACACAGTCCTCCCATGACTCCTTATTATGACCACCCATCACCCTGTCACCACTCCTGGATGACAGGAATCCTCTGAGACACAAACACATACACATAAATATGCTGCTTCTACTGTTTAAATATCAGCCATTTGCCAGACTCTGTCATTATGTCATCAGTATTTCGCTGAAGGGAAATTAAAGTTTAGACTTAAGCCATAGAGTATTGAAGGGCAGAGGCAGGTCTCAGATACTGAATCTGGCTTCGAAGTCTACCTTCTTTTCTCTGTACCATTCCTCATGTCATCTGGGAGTCAAGGATTTATAGACTTGGTTCTTGCATTGCTGTAGGCCTCCTGGATCCTAATGTGTCTCGTATCTGTTTCTTTAGGTTGGAACTAAAGGAAGATCAGAGAAAATAAGGACATACAACTTTCCACAGAACAGGGTCACAGACCACAGAATAAACAAGTCACTACATGACCTTGAGAGCTTCATGCAAGGAGACTGTCTACTGGATGACATGATCCAGTCACTGAAGGACTATGCGGATTATGAGTCTCTAGTGGAAATGATTTCCAGAAAAGACTAAGTGCTCCATAAAGCTTTTTCTACATAGACTAGGAAAACCTTCCAGCAAATCCACTGTGTGCAAAGACTTTTTTCTTTTCTTTTAGTTTTTCTCTGTATTGTTTTGGAGGCTGTCCTGGAACTCACTCTGTAGACCAGGCTGGCCTCGAACTCAGAGAGATCTGCCTGCCTCTGCCTCCCGAGTGCTGGGATTAAAGGCGTGCGCCACCAATGCCTGGCATGTGCAAAGACTTAACTGGTATTCTCTTGGGGAATAGAAGTTAACAGTTCCTGGACTCTTCTCTATAAAAAATTAGACACAAAGGAAGACGGTTGTTCTTATGCAAAATATTTAATAGGTGATCAAAAGTTTCAAATACTAAGCAGAAATATTTATGTTAATGTGCTGTAAAGAGAATCTGACAGTGGAATTAGCAAGTGATAAGCTAGATACAGTAGGACTGAGAGAATGGCCTACAGGAAGTTTTTAGTGAAAGCACACCCTTACAAGGTGCCCCCTTCCACACGATAGAGTCAGGCCTGTTGTAGGGCATAGCATAGCCCACTCAATGATGGAGGAGTTCCTGGGTTCCCTGCAGCTGGTAGCATGGGCCTTTCCTCAAACCCATGGGGCATGATAAGCAAAAAGCCTCCTGTTAAAGTGTGAACAAAATTTACTGGATAATAAGCCTTGGCAGGCTTCTTTATCAGTTCCCCAGAGAAGCAGAACCTATAGGATGTGTCCACACAGATTGACTACAGGATGGTCCCACAGAGAGTACTGTGTGTCCAAGATCTTCCCTGTGGGTGGAGACCAAGGAGAGCTGAGGGTTCACTTCACTTCAAAGGGAGTTTGCTGGGGAATTCCCTCTTGTTTGGAGGAAGCTGGGCTTCAGCCTGGTTGGGTAAACATGCTAGCATAAAGGGCAATCTAGATCAACTGATAGTTCACTTATTTAACCCTGAGAGCCTCGAATGTAAAGCATAAGTTAATTAAAAAAAAAAAAAAGAAAAAATGGGTGGACGGGGAGAAAGCTTAGAAAACTTGGGGGGGGGCATAAAATGAGGGAAACAAAGCCAGAAAAATTACTAGAAAAATGGGAGAACCAGATTTTTTTTAATTATGTCACTTCTAAAAGATGTCTAGAAAAAACAAAACTCCTATATTTTAGCGAAGTAACTTTCCATGTTTATGAAATTGAAATTATGGTGTCCAAGGGTACCCTTAGAGGCTGTTCTGTGGAAGAAATGAAAGGTCCTGGCTGTCCTGTTTACGGTGTTTCTCCTCCACCTACCTCTGACAGGCTTCTTCACTATTAGCAGCAAGAAAGGCACAGGCTGCAGTAGTCAGCCCCCACCAAAACCCAGGTGTTGTCAGTGAGTTAATATTAAGTATGTCAGCCTCGTAACTAAGGTTTTAAGTTCTTCCTAGTGGGGCTAAAGTCTTTTAACTGTCACACACCCAGAGCCACTGCCCATTTTGAATTGTTTTCACTCATTTAGGGTCTGAAATAAATTGCAAACATTTCACTCTCACATGTATCAATTGGCACTGCTTAAGCATATATCATCACATGACAAAATTCATGGTAAATTCAAAATACCTAAAACTAATAGTTCAAATTCCTCTACTTCTCCAGATGTGTTAGAGATGGCTTAATCAAACTAAGATCCAATATGCACATAATCCAGTGGGTTTACCCTTATCAGATCCCTGATCCTGATTTTTTTTTTCTTTTTGGAGGTGTTAAGTGAATTTTTATTGGGAAGGAAGCTGTCAATTCAAACAGCAAATGAAGAATGCATACAGAAAGTTCCTTGTTGTCACAGACAGACTTAACCTCCAGAATATGTGACTTAGACACTTTTGATCTGTGACCCCAAGACCGGATGCATTAAGAGCTTTCCCATTTAATCTAACACTTCTGGATTCCTGCTAACAAGGAACGTGCAGTATGAGTATGGAAAAGTTGCTTCTGAAAGGAAACCCCCCGAAGAAGGGTCAGAGAGGGAATGCAGAAATCAGGAAGTTATCACAATTACTTTACATTGCAATGTACTACATTTCCATATCTTCACGGTAGTACAAAACACAGCCACTTGCAGAACAGGTTCAGATTCCTTAAATACCACTGTGATGCCAGCCCTCTACACAAATTTCTGGAAGTTACTTGTGTTTATTTTAAGACACTGCACTGGATTTTCATCTATAAAGATCAAACGATATGTTGGTACTATGTGAGTTGTTTGGACAATAACGCTTATAGGACTTGGCCACTTTAAACAACTCATAGCTTTTCTTGTGACTCAGCACTGTTGTCACAAAAATTCCTATTGGAATAGGGATTACTATTCCATGCAGCTGTTACTAGGATTTAGGAGCCTCCAGCCTAAATAATAAAGGAATTATGAGGCACTTCCCAGACATGCTAGAATCAGCAGTACTCTTAAATTTTTAGGAACAAACATGCTTCTCTTATATCCTAATTTCCTTCAGAACTCAGCTTGTAATTTCAGTGTACTTTATACTGTTAATACTGATGATTTAGTGTCTCTATTGGAAAGTGAGTAGCACAAAACCATTAGTGATAATAGGCAAGGGTTTTCAAGCTGCCTACAGTATTTATCACAGAAACCCCTCTATCTCATGAAAGGTACTTTACCTTTAAAAACACTTGAAATCTGCTTTTTATATGTGTAGGTGTTTTTCATGCATGCATGTCTATATACTATGCGCCTGCAGTACCCACGGATGCCAGATTAGGGTATCTGATCCCCTGGGATTGCATAATTGTGAGTTGCCAGAGGGTACTGGGAATCGAACCCAGGCTCTCTGAAAAAGCAGCAGGAGTGATTATTTTGGGCCAGGGTCATTCATAGTCCTTGCATGATTGATGCAAATGTCCCTTAGATGGCTGTGTTGTCAATGCTATAACATTTTGAAACAGGAATATTTGTTTGTTTGGTTTTGTTTGTAGCCTTGGCTGTCCTAGAATTCACTCTGCAGACCAGGCTGGCCTTGAACTCACAGAGATCCACCTGCCTCTGTTTCCAGAGTGCTTCCATTACAGGCTTGGACCACCACTGCCTGGCCTTGAACTGCTGAAGTCTTGGTTAAAGGAACTGGTTGTTTTTGCTTTTTCACCTTCTTAGTTCCTCAAGAATTCTTCCCCCTTGCCCTGGAGGATTCAAAAGTCTATGCACTCTTGACTAGTTCTGAAACCCTAGTAACCAAAGGGAAATCTGACTTAGACTTTGAAACACAATCATTATAAAGTGAAAATAATGCTAAGATTATTTAAGAAGGGCAAGCTCATACCAACCTTTTCCTTGTCCTCCTTAGCATTCCCAGGGACATCCACTGCTTCTAAAACCAACTTCACTGCTGTACACAGAATACACCAATGGGCTGCACTGTTATTTCCCACAGCTCCATTAGGTAGTATATTTTACACAACCATCTCCCTTGTACAGCATTTAAAATTTTTGTTGCGTTTTTCATGGTGGTTTCTTTGTGTAGCTCTGGCTGTCCTGGAACTCAATTTTGTGCCTCCCAACTGCTGGGATTAAAGGTCTGTGCCACCACACCCCATCAGACAGCATTTTAATATTCAGAAAGTTAGCTAAAAGCCCTAAGCAGTGTGATCAGAACTGTACAACTTCACATGGAAGTCTACTAGATCTAACTTCTCACTTTTCTGACCCCCTTGCTTGATGAGCTGCAGGCACGTTTTATACAGTGCTTTGCAAGGTCACTTCTATGTTCAAAGACTCAAACTTAACTGACCAAAATTCTCAATCCTTGGCTCTATTTACAGTTCTTTTAGCACTCGATTTTGTATCTATTCTCACTGAAAATCCTGATTGCCAATATCGTTCTAATTAGTACAAAGACTCCCGGAAAGGCTTCTGTCGTCTCAACCGTTTATACTTAAAGGCTCAATTCTCAGGTCCAAAACAGAAAATGCTGCCAGATTTTTGGTAAGCAACGTCATCTTTAACTTTTTTTTTTTTTTTTTTTTTTTTTTTTTGGTGTTTCGAGACAGGGTTTCTCTGTGGCTTTGGAGGCTGTCCTGTAACTCACTCTGTAGACCAGGCTGGCCTCTCGAACTCACAGAGATCCACCTGCCTCTGCCTCCCGAGTGCTGGGATTAAAGGCGTGTGCCACCACCGCCTGGTTACCCTTAACTATTTTCATGCAACATTTTCAAACGTGAAAATGCCAGAAAACTAGGGACAAACTAAAAGAATTTAGAAAAAAAAAACTGGGTCCACTCAGCACTTGCATGACTCGGACTAGTCATGGCCCCGCCTTGCACAGGAACTGTCACAGGCTGCAGAGGACTTTAACTGAAAGTCAAATGCTCTAGCAGAAAAGCAAGAAGATGGCAAGTGGAGGGGGTGGGCTTTTCTCAGAGAGAGCATCCCGTAGCTTCAGAGGGCGCCATATTCGGAAAGCGAGTCCGGTGTATCGTACCGTCACCACTTAGAAACCAGCGCTGGCCGTGCACTGCCCCGCTTACTGTTTACATCAGACTTAATAACAACATGTCCACTCCCGCCCTTGCTGCAAAAATACCCAGCCAGGGCTCCTCGAGCCCAAAGAAGTGGGGAGTTTGACTTATTTGGGGGAACAGGTGTGGCGTCTGGCGCTAAGCCTGCGAAGGGGAAGAAAAGCGAAAATACCAATAAACAGTCGTTAAGATCTCTTTTCGGTTGGAAACCCAAAGGAATGCCGCGGCACGGACTGGAGATCAGGCCGCGCCCACAGTCTCCCGGAGGTGCGGAGCCCAGCGACGCCGGGGTCCCGCCGCGCGCCACCCCCAGGGCAAGGGCGGTTCTCCCGCAGCCATCTGTCCCGCCTCGCCCGGCCGCCCCGCCCGGAGGGAACCGCCAGGCCCCTAGCGCGCAAGCGCCAACCCGCCAAGTCCGCAGCGCGGCCGCCGCGCAGGGCGCAAGCGCTGAAGGCTCCAGGCGAGGGGCGGAGCCAATTTAGGAGGGAGAGTGGAGCGCGCCTAAATCCTAGAGAGGCGGGTCCGGAGCCGGAGGGGAAGGGCCAGTGTTCCGGAAGGTCTGCGCTTAGCGTGGCGGGTTTGCCGCCCACCGGCCTCGCACTCAGGGCAGGATGGAAGAAGACGCGGGTCCCGTCTGTGCCCATCACAGATCTCCAGGCAGAAGTCGCAGCCGTCCGCAGGACGCGAGGACTCGCGGGAGGCCGGTTCGCGGGATGGCGGGGCGGGGGTGGGGGTGGGATAGAGTGCAGCGTGGCGGGTCTGCGCAGGCGCCCCGCCTTCGCAGGCCACGCCCCCAGGGGCCTTGTCCACACCCTCTGCCTCTTTGGGGAGGCGCGGATCCCGGTGGGTGGGAGGGGCCCTGTCTTCACGGCTGGCTCCGCCCCCGCGGCCTCCTATTGGGCGAGCGAGGGCGTCCCCCTCACGCCGTCCGCCTATTGGCGCGCGAGGGAGAACGCCGCGCCCCATTGGTCTGTTCTGATTTGGGCACCAAATTCAAAGATTTTAAAAGTACCAGCTGGCGCGCCTTTTAAGCGCTGGAGCACGGCGCCGTGGCCGGTCGGCTCTTCTTAGTGGTCGCCGCCACTTCACCTGCCCCGGGGCCCGCGGTCTCCGGCATGAACCGACGCGTCTGCAGCGGTCTCCCCAGGCCGTCCTCCTGCCCCTGCGGCCTCGGCGCGCGGACGGTCGCGGACGGTGAGTGTGGGGCGGGCATGGTAGGGATCCCCGACTCGGGGGCCGCAGCCTCGGGACTGGGTGCGTGCAGATCGCGGGGGCCCGGGCCTCAGGCGGCCTCCCGGGCCCCAGGGCGGACGGGAGTCGGCTGGTGCAGAGGGGGGACAGATGGGGTCTGGCTGGCCCGGGTTCCCCCCCATCCCATCCAGGTCCCCCGCTCCGGGGACGTGCAGGTGGTGGCATCTGCGCGCGGGATTCCTCCCCACCCCCTGCCTGGGCGCCAAACGCTCTCTCCCCTCCCCCACTCCGGCCTGAGCTGTGACAGGGCTCCGGGCTCCCTGGCTTGCCAGATGCCCCATCTGCAGTCCCTGCACCCCGTTTCCATAGTTGTTTAGCCACCTCGCATCCCAACTCAGTTTCCCAAACCTGTCCTCCCTCAGCGTCCTGGCCGGAGAGCGCGGGAGATTGCGCTCGCGTTAGCTTATCTCCCGCCCTCGTGCACCGCGCCCTCGGGGCATCTCCCACCGCCGACCCCTCAGAGTTTCTAGGGGCTCCTTCCCTGCTCCCGCCAAATGTAGAGCAACCCCTCTGCCCGCCCTACCAAACTCAATGGGAAAAGATTTATTTTTCTGCCCTTTTTTTTAAACCTCTTCTCTTAAGGCCTGGAGTCCTCAGGGGAGGGTTTTGAAAGCGCTCCCCCCGCCTGATAAAAACATGAATTTGCCAAATGTTCAGTTGTTTGGTGAGAATCGAACAGGAGTTCCTCTCACCCCGGATTGACGAGTTATTTAATTAATGATCATTTGTTTCAAAGCCTGGATGAGAGTTGAGCAAATTAAGTTGAATATA